CCCTAAACCCTAAACCCTACTCAAGAGGTCCACCGAGCCTTCCAAGTCCTTTGCCCCCGAGCCGACAACTACACTTAAAAAGCCCAAATATAGGGGGCCGAATTTAGGGTTTAGGGTTTAGGNNTTTGGGTGCTCCTTGTTATAATTACAGTATAATGGGCCCCAGAACCCTATTCTAATCATCAAGGCCCCTATAAATTAAGCTCTACATACTAAGCAGCAGAGGAAGATGGCTTTCGCCACATATGCTCGCATCAATTTTCCAAACCCTAAACCTTACATCACCCTTTGGCGACGCAAAAGGCCAGATGCTTCTGTGTATCTGCGTTTCCTGGATCCCCGCAGGAACGTCAAAGTCGAGTCGCCTTCCACTTGTTATGAACTCCGACCTTGGCTAGGGCGTTTATGGCTTATAGGGTCTACAGACAGGGTCTGAATCATTAACCTGGGTTTTGGGCCCATTTTGGGCCCTGTACGCCATGATTCCACTAGGAAGCACAAAGGCACAGTGTTACTATCGAGAAACTCCCACAAGACCCTATTAAAAACCTATGAGAAACCCCAAGAACAAGCCCCGAAACAGGCCCGAGACACTCCTGTGAAAACAAGGGCCAGCTAAAGTAGAAAAGGTAGTCCGTTCTGGTCACAAAAGGTTCATAGGGTAAGGACCTACTGCTACCGGCTACAGCACTCTGCACAAAACTCGCGATCAAGATTAACCCAGATCCCACAATTTACAGTGGATAGTAGGGTCCCGGCTTTCGTGAAACTCCATTCAACCCGAACCCTAAACCCTAAACCCCTGAGCCCTAAATCCCTAAATCCCGGGACCCCTAAACCAGAAACACCAAACTGATCTACTGCCGGATCGTAGAGTGGAGTGGCGTCTGGTGGCTTTTGGGTTTGGGTGTTTTGGTGGCTGGGTGTCAGGTTAAGGAGTGCCAACGTTTCATGATTCCTGTTACAGTAGTGAACAAGTTTGGCTTGAATGGCTCAAGGCCTCAAGCTTGCCGAGCGTCTTTCAGCTGCTGACACACAGAGGCCAGCCTTTCTTTCACCTCCTCCTCGGCACAAGGCTGAGATGGTGAATGTGAGAAGCCCCAATGCCGAACCATCGTCCTCTCTTGATCATTAAAGTGGGGTTTGCGGGGGTAGAGAACGATCTAGATAGGGACTACACCGGGAATATTCTGGTACAAGTTGCTGAGAGCCCTCCTTTACCATTACAGCTGGGTTTGGGGTTTAGGGTTTACCTGGAAACTCTCAAGCGTCCGCTATCTCGCCTTACTTCCGAGCACTAGCTCGTTTGTCTCCCTCGCTCTCTATCGCTCGGGATCTCTTCTTCTCCTTGAGGTTTGATTGGCACCTCTTGATGCAGTCAGTCAAACTAGCTTCACCGGCCGGATCTCTGCATGACGTTCCTACGTTCCTTCGAGGTTAAGAAAGCTCTTTCGGGCGTTATCCTTAACCCTAAACCCTAAACCCTAAACCCTAAAGGTTTACAAGCAAGTCCGGATGAGCAGGCCCTCCCAAGACCCTACAGAACCTACCTCTTTGAAGGACTTCTGTCTGGTGCTTAGTAGGGAATGCGGGAAATGGATCCCTATGATAGTCCCTTAAGATCCCTTATAGTAGTTCCTATAACCCATTCCCCCATTCCCTACTAGCACCAGACAGAAGCCTAAACCCTAAACCGCTTTTGAGGGACTGGCATAAGGGGATTATAGCAAAAAGGAGGCCTAAACCGGTAGGTTCTGTAGGGTTCAGGTCTGACCAGGAGCTGTCGTGAACTTAAGAAGTTTAGGGTGGTTCGGGTTTAGGGTTTAGGGTTTAGGGATGGAGCAATGAAAGAGGCGTGAATTTTGGAGGAATTTGGGGGGGGCTTCTTCAGCTTGGGCTTCTGCTCGGGGTTATTGCGGCTCGAAGCTTTCAGGACTTATCCGACCCGACTGCCCCCCGCCCAACGGACCCAATTTTAAGTACTGTACTTGACTTTAGGATAATAGCCGTTGATAACTGGGTGATATAACTTGATGTAATTATGGGGTCCTTGGACCCTTGAGGAAACTCTACTCTCCACATGTGCGACCCTTGAGGAAACTCTACATTCCACATGCGCGTGCCAGAAGCCTCAATGGCCTATGGTATACTCATGTATCCCTCAGGGTCCATG